ACCTATAATACATACGCCTATATCTCACAAATATTGCGCACTACCGGAAAAAAATTCAGATACTTGAACAGAGAAAACTAGAATTAATAGAATTTTGTTTTGTTAAAAATACTGTGTATGTGTTTATGTGCATCTTTAATTAGAAATATCATACCAAATATTCTTAGGTACGAATCTGACAAATTGAAGCAAATTAATAATAAAATATACATACATTTCTGTTCTGGAAAATATCTTCGAATTATCTAATGTCAGTGATACTTATACTCTGATTTCAACGGTGATTATTTGGATTGCTTCGATTCACATTGTAGCAGGTTAGCAAAAATCATACTTTCTTTGGCTTTTCTTCTAAAAGTCTTTTTGTATCCATTTATTCATATTAATTGTTTTATCATATTTACACCATTCAATTATACGTTTCTTAGTAACATTTTTTGCTGAAAGTTCTTAACATGTTGAGAAAGATTTCTCGCAGTCAGTCAGTATTACGAAATATGAAGTATAATTGACATTGCCAAGTGGTCTATTACGGTATAATAAAAGGTTAAGTATCAGTCAACAGAAGAAGGATTTATATGTCAAATGTATTTCTACTTTTGCAATATTGACTACGATATATCTTTTCGGAAGTCTTTAGATCTTTCAACAAACAAGTTACTAAGAAATGTGCAAAAGAATTGTCTAAAAAGTAATAAAATAATTATTATGAATAAACGAATAGAAAAAGACTTTTGTAGTGTAACTTGCGTTTTTATACCCATAAAACATATCGTATGGAACACGTTTTAGAATGATTTGTTTGTGTTTTTAGTCAAAATAAAACGTCTTTTCAATGCGTTTAAGGCAAGGGAAACCGACATTCTTTGGTATTGCCCTGAGTATAAAAAATACGTGAGTATAGTGAATTTATACGAAGTACGGGGTCTCGAAGTACAACTTTATAACTAAGAAAAATCTAGATTTGGATTCAAAACGATAACGATGTACTCATATTGTGCTCTCACATTTCTCTTACTGTACTTCACGTGCTTCCACTCCATTCTCAATGTGGTTTCATACTTTCGCTTTACTGTCATCATGCAATTGTACTCCCGCTGTACTCTTGTGCTTTATGTACTCCAGAGAGCAAAGGAGTACGTTGTTTCTCTCTTGGTTTAAGGCTTACACATTCAAGTAACGAGCTACATCGAAAAATAAAAACGTTTATTTCAAAGACTATGAAAACTATATTACTTTTAAACAACAATAAATACTCCAGATTCTTGTATCACTGTTAACGACATCTTTTTCGATTCCATAGTGGAACATCTTCTGTTTTTAACAGGTTCAACACCTAGCAACCAAACAAGCTTATGTCTGACGTAAAAAGAATGGAAACAAAACAAACATACAGATTGTGACGCATAATGATTTACTTCTTTTTTCTTCCTTCCTCGGAAAAAATATTAAAAAAAAATTCCTGTTTCTCTTTATCTTTACCAACTAGTTTATTGATTTATGTTTCTTTTTTATTTAATTCAATTGAATAGATTCATTAAGTCAAATACTCTGTCTAATATATTGGTATCTAGATTTCTCCAAGAGAACAAAGATATAAAAAAAACATGGGTGCAAGATCTTGCAAAGGTGCAGCAAATAGTAACAAGTAAAAATTATTAATTTGAATATAATAATTGATTTTACTTTCGGCCTATTTTCATTGCAGAGCAATTACTATTGCTATTCTTGGTTTAGACAATGCAGGTAAAATTAATAGATTAACAAAGAAAAAACAATACTTGAAATATTTTTTTCTATTTTCTTAGGTAAAACAACAACAGCTCGTGTACTTGAAAAAGGTAATGAAATCATTCATGAATATTTCATTACATTGAATCATTAAAATTTAGCTCCAGTCGATTCTGTAGCACCAACAATTGGTTTTAGTCAAACAGAAGTTCTTCACAAAGATGAAAGAATTAAATTAATTGATTTGGGTGGTGGAGAAACATTTCGTGAAGCTTGGCGTCATTATTATGATGATGCATATGGATTTGTTTATGTTCTTGATTCAAGTCAAGAAAGTCGTCTTGGTGAAAATCGTGATGTATTAAAAAAACTTTTACGAGAAGAAAAAGTTAAAGGAAAACCTATTCTTATGTATGCATTAGAGATCAATAGACAAAAATTTCTCAAATATACGTATGGATTTTGTTTTCTTTTTTCTCTTATAGCTTGGCTAATAAACAAGATAAACCTGAGGCACTTGACAAAAATGCAATTCTTGAAGATTTAAAAATCGAACGACTTGTTAATGAAAATCAAACATTATGTCGAGTGGTAAGAATGAAAATAAATTAAAAATTCAAATAAAACATAACTTTGTTCAATTTAATTAGGAATTATGTACAGCTACATCATTAAGTCGTAGTGGAAAAAATTCTAAAATTGACGATTCTATTCGACATGGTTTTGATTGGCTTATCAAAGTAGTTTATGAAAATTATGATGCATTACATGAACGTGTTGAAAAAGATGTTCAAAAACGTAATGAAGCTGAACAAAACTCTAGACGAGAAAGACAAGAGCGTGTACAAAAACTACGTGAAGAGTAAAGTTTTTTCTAAATTATTATATATAGAATAACAAAAAAGAATTTCTCAATTTTTGTCTTTCCATTAGACGAGACAGACAAGAAGGCACTGAAAATGGTAATGATGAAGATGATGATGCAATGAAAAATGGCTTTGTTCCAATTGGACAAGCTGTCAAAAATGCTGAAGTAAGATCTGGAGCTGCTACTACTACTATTAATGGCGATATATAGAAAAGAAAACTTGAATACTATCTGCTGTCTGTGATATATTTTTTTGTCTTTATGTCAACTGATAATAAAATAGCACAGTTTGATTTTGATTTTATTATTTGCTAACTTGTGTGTTTTTGAATATTTTGCTGAATATGTTTAATTGGTTTTCAAGACTCATTCATCTTTTAAAGAAGAATAATCACTATGAAGACGAATTATTCATATTTCATTGAAATGATTGTAGAATTGATGTTCTTTGAATTCTTTTTTTTTCATTCTAGCGAAATTC